CAGAAAAATGGATCACCAATTTTATCTGGAAAGGAAGGATTCCTAGGATAAGCAAAGCACTACTAAATAAGAAGAACAAAGTAGGAAGCTCCTCACTTCCCAACATTAAAATCCCATTATATAGCCACAGATGCCAAATTACCCTGGTACTGGTACAATGAAAGCTACAGTGACCAGTGGAACAGAACTGAGAACACAAATATAAACCTATCCACCTGCAAACCACTGATTTTTAACAAAGGGTCAAGGAACATTGAATGAGGAAGAAAATCTTTTCAATAAATGGTACTGGCAAAACTGAATTTCCATCTGCAGAAAAATGAAACAGGACCCATAATGCATTGCACATGAGAAAACAAACTCAAGATGAACTAAAGATGTAAATGTAACAGCTAAAACTACAAAAATCATCAATGAGAAAATAGGGGAAAACTTAAAAGGAGCCTAGATCAGGACATAAATGCACTATTAAAAATAATGAATAATACATATACAGCAAAAGATAAAATAGATGACTGGGGTCTCCTAAAATGGATAAATGTAATTTCCTACAAATAGGATAATTATGTGCACTAAGAGACTTCACCAAAAGAGTAAAAATAGAACAAAAAGACTGTGCTATTATCTGTCTTAAGGGCAGTGGGTTTTGTGCTGGGCTGCTGACTATAAAGTTGACAGTTCAGCCCACAGAGCACTCCTCAGAAGAAAGATGAGGCTGCCTGCCCCCACAAAAATTCACAAGCTTGAAAATGGTAACAGTTCCTCTCTGTCCTACTCTGTCACTATGAGTTGGAATCACTCAATAGCAATGGTTTATCACTTATTTTACCCAAAAAAAATATTTGAATTTCACTTATTTATGATGTTTTTGTTTTATTTTACTAGATGCACAGGAAAAAAGACTGAATGCAAAAGCCAACAAAAAATGTTATTGATTCTGGAAGATAAAATGCAAAGGATTATTAATTTCTTCTTTGTGTTTTGTTATGTTTTTCAAATTTCTGATAAGTAATAATGAAGTATTTACTTTCTTTTTTTTCTATTATTTTTTTTCTAATTATTTTATTGGGGGCTCGTACAATTCTCATCACAATCAATACATACATCCATTGTGTCAAGCACATATGTACATTTGTTGCCCTCATCATTCTCAAAACATTTGCCTCCCACTGTAGCCCCTACTACTTTCACTACCTCTCCATCTATCATCATGGGGAAAATTTGTTCTTTCTTATATGCTTGTTACTCTTCAGGTGGCTACAAGTACTGACAGATAAAGAAAGATTTCTGTGGGATATCCTCCTTTGGGTTTTACCGATACTCATAACTCTTGCTAAGTTTATTCATTAGTAAGGCCCTTCTATTTGTTAAAATATTGAAATATTTCCACATTGGTAAGCTCTGCTTCCCAAACGGTCCTAAGCTTTCTGTCATATCCAGCCCCTCACTGTGTGTAATGATAGTTGTAATCATATTAATATTAGCAATTAGACGTTTTCAAATCACTCTAGAAAACTTATTCCCCAATCTAGCACCAACATAAAAATGCTAACATTCTTACACCGTCAAATGTTAACACAGCTCCTAAATAAAACTAAGCATAAAGTAACTGAAAATCAGTAATAAATTCAGAATTTCAGAATTCTGAAAGGGCATATTTAAAACTCCTGTATTGGCTTAGAGAAGAATATAGATATATATGAATGAAATAAACTAGCTATATGTCCAATAGGAAAGCATCCATTACAAAATTTATCCCTATAAAAGAAACTGGCTATCACAAATACTTTTAAGTTAGTATACGAGGGGTACCCCCAAGACACAGATTTTTTTCCCAAAGCTATGTATTTAAATTTTTTTATAAAACCATCTTATCACCTTCAAAGTATTCTCCATTACACTTAATACATTTGTCAAATCTGCAATTCCATTCTTGGAAACATTTTTCAAACTCATCTGTTTGGATGGCTGACAGCACCACCATTTTTTTCCTCACCTCTTCAATGCCATCACATCGCTGTCCTTTCATGTCCGTCTTCATTCACAGAAATAAAAAGAAGTCACACGGAGCGAGGTCAGGAGAGTAAGGTCAGTGGGGTAAGAAAGGCATGCTGTTTTGTGGCCAAATCTGGCGCACTGAGATAACTGCCTGAGCAGGTGCGTTGTCGTGGTTGCCCAGCCAGTCCCCCATCTGCCACAACCAGGCCCTTTTTGCTGCACACTGTTATGCAATCTTTTCAGAACCTCTCAATAGAAAGCTTGATTAACAGCCTGGCCTGGTGGAATGAACTCCAAATGCACTATCTCCCTCACATCAAAAAACAAATGAATATTGTCTTGATCTATGATTTCACTTGACGAGCTTTTTTGGGGTGGGGTGACAATGGTGTCTTCCACTGGCTTGATTGACGTTTGCTATCAGGGTCATAAGAATAGTACCATGTCTCCTCACCAGTAAGGATCCTGGAAAAAAAGTCTGGGTCACTAAGGAGCTGTTCTTTCAAATCAAGGCATGTTTCCACTCAACGCTCTTTTTCCTGCTCAGTCAGAACCAAAGTAAAATTCAAAGAAGAGAACACCGAGCTCCAAGATAGTGGAGCTAACCTTCCCCGTCTCTGCAGTGGTCGTCGTCAGTCTTTGAGCACCCGGGAATGAGCTTTGTTGGCATTTTCATCTGTTGGGGAAGGTAAGGGATATCCAGAACGAGGTTTGTCATCAATCAACATTTCGCCTTTTTTGAAATGAGAAAACTACTCATATAGTTGAGTTTTTCCTATAGCACTGTCCTTGTAAGCTGTGTTCAACATCACAACAGTTACTGCAGCATTTTTCCCAAACAGGAAACAAATTTCACAGCCACACGTTGTTCTCTTAAATTGGCCATCACAAAAAATGAGGTTCTAGCAAAACTGCTTTTACAAAAAAATTCATATGACCAGAGAGAACCTTCCCAGGTGATATCACGGAGTGCAGTAACTCAGAGTGAGTTTCTGGATGCTTGCCTCGCAGGGGAAAATGCATTTTTAAAAAGCCACAAATGACAGGGGTACCTATTTAACATTCCTTCTAAATTAAATTAGTATCACAAATTATGAATTGTTGAATTTATTTCTTTGCATTAAAAACATGCCATCAGATAAACATTTACTAAAGAACACATAAAAATCTGCTAATTCCATATACTTTTTTAGTTCTCTAAAAAGATTTGTACAATATTATTGAAATATTCAAATACAAAAAATTCTTACCTCAGCTCTTTTCAGCATTTCCCATTTATTCAATATTTTCATGGCAAATACTTTATCTGCATTTTTTAGTTTTACTACTGCAACCTAAAAAAGATAAAAGTATAACTTTCAAAATATGACCATATACTTTTCAGTCATCCATTTTCTTTTTCCTCTCTGTAAAAAAAAATAAGTAAGCAGTGATTACCAAATATTTCAATGCATTTTCAAATGTTAAGATCCTAAATTAATGTTGTTAGATGAAAAAGTCACACTAGTGAACATGTGTCAAAAGATGGTGTCTTTGAATACTATTATCAGTAAATGATTATATGGCAATTCTTCCTTTACATCTTTTCTGTACTGATATTTAAACTCAGCATATACTATCATTAAGAAACTGATAAGAAGTACAACATGAAAGAACTAGAGCTTGCTAAGTAATGCACGTGAAATTCCAAAATGATGCTAAAGGAATGCCAGTCACCAAAATATGCTCCATGGGGATGAAATTATATGAAAACTCAAACTCACTGCCATCAAGTCAACTCCGACTCACACAGATTCTATACTACTGAACAAAACTGCCCGTGTGGGTTTCTGAGGCGATAGATCTTTATGAGAGTAGAAGATCATCTTTCTCCCTGGGATGGCCAGTGTCCACATTGCAATTAGCAGCCCACTGTACTCCCATGGCTCCTTGAGCGATGTCTACGAAATTGAAAGTGTTTTCTCATACCACATACTGTTACATACTATGTGCAACACACAGACACGGACTCTCTCTTAGAGAGAAATGATTAATATATTTAATTGTTAACTTTATATAGCTCATTCCAAGAAAATCAGGAATAGCTATTTCTATTTTGTACTTTACAGATATTTTCAAACTGTCAAATACAAATAAATGAGTCCCTTTTCTTATCTTAACAAATGGATTTTTGCTGTTGAAAAATGTTTCTAGTTTTCCGCTTCAGTTTTATTATAATCTCTAAGGGCCATTCATGTTGTTAGAGATGTTATAAAGGTGAGACTGAACAACTGAAGAGGAAGAAAACGATTCAGTTGGTATGATTCCAATTACTGGGGGAGCAAAAGAGGGCCATGAGTAATACATTCATATGCAGGTAGAGAGATGAAAGTGTAAAAAACAAATTTTTAAATAGCTGAAAGGTATGTTTCTAAGGACAATGACCAGGTTTAAACTCAAATATCAAGATTTTAAAAACACCCATAAACACATAAAGAATGAAATCTTAATAGCAAATGTGTACACCAAGAGCATTAATAAATTGTTTGGATCAAACTGAAATTAAAATGCTGCTGCCTAAGTACTCATTCATATCAGGTCATAACTGGAAAAATGACATAACAATTAAATTGTTCCCCCAACGAGATTAAATGTAAAGAAAGATGGCCATAGGAGAAAAAAGAACAAATTTAAAACCTTGCTTCACTAAATCCCTGTGAGGCTGGAGACCAGGAGCCTCTGCAGTCAACTGCTGTACAACTGCAGTGCAAACGGACAGACAGTTGGGAGCACCATGTTAGGACGGCTGAGAGACAAGGAAGGGAATCACTAACTCTTCCCTTGTTCTGATTTAGGGGAGGGTGGCTAAAACACTCCACTACTCCTGTGTCTTCTCAGCAGATCATCAGGTGAGAAAAATACTCCCAGCAACACTGCACGATGCACCAATTTAAAAAAATCCTTTGGATCACAAAGGACTGGCTCACAACAGCAAACAACAACAAAATGAGTAAATAAGTATCCAGAGATTACAGTAGTAGTAGTGAGTATATTCTACGTGCTAGCTTGATATGCTAAGAGTGTTATACAAGTCCACAATCCTTATCTGCCACTCTAAAAGCAAATTTTCCATAATTCATTCAGCAGCACTTGGCTTTTAACCATCTTTTTTTTAAAGGGTAACTCAATGTAAATACAAACATGCTTCCGTGAAAAAATTCTAACACATTTGTTTGTGGAGTGCCGTTCCAAACATCATTAGGGGTGTGATGTAAAACACTGTGCGAACTAAACTGCCTCTACAATCCAAAAACCATACCAGAACCAAAAGTACATCAAGATTATGGAATTTAGCAGTAGGAATAATTATAATAATATCAAATACTTATTACATATCCAAACAGAATTTATTGTGGAAATTCAGAGGAATGGTGAGTAGCGTGGACTGCCTGGGCTTGAATCCTGACTCTTACCATTAGCTGGTATCTCTGGGCAAATAACCTTTCAATAATTCTGTTCTCAGGACAATATAGCAGGGCTACTTATAGCACTGACTTTATGTAATTTTAGTTAAAATTAAGATAATTAATACAAGTATAAAGTAATTGCAGCATGATCTGGTACTTAGTAAGTGTTCCAAAAGCATATTATTATTATGCATCAGGCACTGTGCTAAGAAAATATCAACCTGTAACTAAAAACTAAATTACATGGCTCACGAGACTATGGTTTTCAATAGAATATTCAGGATAACTTAAATATTGTAAAATATAAAGTTGGCTATATATATTATCCATCTGCTTGGAAAAGGCTATTAACTAATAGGGAACGTTCACAGTGTAATATTAAATAAAAATTTCAAGTTTATTGAATTAGTTATACACACATACTAAAGAATCTTCCAAAAAGTTCAGAAAAATGCTTATCATGAAAACTAGGCATGGATTTTTTTTAAACAACAATATAAACTTTACTAACATGATAAGATTTATTAACAGGATCTAGTTTGAGGAACTAAGAAGGACAAGACATCAATATGAAAAGAGTCCTTATCAGAGTAACGAGTTTTGCAAAAATTGGAGCAAAAATAATTATCAAGTTTATGGTGAATCTTGGGTGGATGAATGGTAAAGTCACTGATGCTTTATGACAAGTTTGCGGAGACAATAACCAGTAGTTCACAAATGAATAATTAATTTTTTGTATAATTAATTTTTAAATGAATGAGATAAGGTTGAAGATAAAGCCCAAAGCAGAAGACCATCTACATCAATTTTTGAGGAAACAAACTTGTCTCTTCAACTAAGCCCTAAATAAAAAGCACCCACAATTAACAGGAGAGCCAGTATACAGTATCACTGACATCTCAATGGGTCAGCGTACATCGTTTTAACTGAAATATTTAAGTTGAGCAAATTTTCTGCTCAATGGCATCCACAACTGTTAGGTCCAGTCAAGCTACAGACAAGAACAAAGCTTTCTGTGGAAAATTTAAACACGTAGGACCAAGATCCTGAAGCATTTCTTCAAATAATTTTAACAGGAGATGCAGTATTATCCTAGAAACAAAGCACAACCAAAGCAATAACCAGCAAGAGGTGGAAAGTAGTCCAGTCAAGGCACAAACAGGCATGGAAAGCACAAATGTCATAGCAAGTTTTGGGGGGCACTCAAAACATTTTGCTTCTTTATTTTCTGCAGGGCCAAGGAACAAAAACACTTGCTTATAATGAGAATGTCTTCAGAAAATTAGCCAAAGCTTTCCCAGATAGGCGCTCACGAGAGCTCAGCAGGTAGTTCTTCTCCACCATGACAATGTTCCTCATTCCTCTCATCAAACAAGGAACTTTGCAAGAGTTTTGACTGAAAATCACAATTAGGCAGTAGTCCTAATTTGGCTCTTTCTGACTTCTATTTGTTTCCTAATCTTTAAAAAAAAAAATCTTTCAAGGGTTTTAAAAAATCCTGTTTTTATTCAGTTAACAATGTAAAATGACTGCATCATTGACATAGTTAAATTCCCTGGATCCTAACTTTTTAAAAACTCTGGTGGTATGATAGACTCAATGGCACTGAGTTTTGGAGTAAATTCTTTAAGGATGCATGCTTTGAACTTGATGGAGTTTATATTGAGAAATAAAGTTATTTCTATCATTGAATTCTATTTTTCATGAACTTTTCAAGAGCCTTAATATATATAAAGTATGCATACTGAGAATAGGCACCAGAATATCAGAAAAGCAAGTATTTCTCGGTGATATTATTTTTAATTGCTTTTCTACATTTTCTACACAGAACCTACAAAACCTGAAGCATGAACAAATGAGATATTATACCTTATTTGGTCACGAAATGAATGCTAGTTATTGAGGTTTTATAGTGTGAGTACTAAAAGCCCAAATTAAATCCATTCTACACATTGGTGTAGTAATCAGGAAGGATATGTTTTGCCAGCAAAGAAATTTCTTAAAGTTATATTACATCAGTTTCATGATCTGCCTAAAGAAATTTTGGAAATGCTGAGGAGTATGGTGAAATAGAGTAGTCAGGTCAGATTATATTCTTGAATATATGAAATTGACAGTATGATTAGAAAAGAATATGAAGCTAATGAATAAAATTGATTTTACTTTTCTTCTATAACAGTATAAGTAAATTTCATGTTCGTTTCCATTGAATTTGAAATAAAGAGGATTCCACTAGAACTCTAACTTCAGGTTCTACATTTTCAAGAAGCAAAGCTAACAGTCATATAAGAGGTTAGTACATTATAACCCCCCTTATTTAATGTGATGAAGATGAAAAGCACATTTAGTATATAAAGAAAAAACATAAATTTAAAATTATACAAGGACCTAGGAGGGTAAGCTAAATAGTATTGCTACAAATTCATAAATATCTTTATTGAACAAAAATATGAAGCTATTGTTTCTTGATATACTGTCGATTTTTGGAGTAAGATTTACCAAGCAAATTCAGAGGACAGACCTTGCTACTCTCAATGAGTAGGTTCACTGTAGTAATTGAGGGGGTGGGGTGCTCCTCAGAACAACTTTCCTGCTCTTTATCTCAATTGCTTAAAACTTCTTCCCAGTCAGTTCCTGTGATCATGTGTCCTTAAGAGAAAAATTTAACAAGGTAATCACCCTTTTGGGATCCCTCCAAAATAGTTATCATAACCTTTTGAACTGACCTTTCTGTCTTTAACTGACCCAGCAGATTCTCTTCAAAGCCAGTTTTGATGGGATCATTTTTGAAGGCATCTTATTGAGACTAAGACACATGTTTTACTAAGAGAACTTGTCTGCAGCTATCCACTGATCTTAGGGATGTGCTTAAACATGCTTTGCTTGGA